GAATTTATCCAAACTCTCAAGGGAAGTGAACTCAATGTGATGAGTGACAGTGGTGGTGGCCAGTACAAGAGTGTAATCCCAGCGTCCCTCCCCCCTTCTGGTAAGGGCACAAAGTAGGACATGATCCCTCTTCTGGTTCCAATCAAACAAAACAGCTTTAACTCCATTCTTCCCCCTTCCCCTTGAGGTATTTGCAAATGGGCCAGTGACCAACTTAGGCCCCCCTCCCCCTGGTGGTGGGGGGGGAGGGGAAGCAAGTGATCGGTGGGATACAGAGAGGTTCCCCTTAGCACCTGATGCCATGGGTCCCCTCCAAGTGGAGGGGGATCCTTGGAGATCCTCACTGCCCCAAGTGAGGTCCATTATGCAGTATTTTTTAGATTAATAAATTACAGCAATAAATAGTAAGGTGAGGTAGGGGGAGGGTTTCCCAGTAGAATATTAAAGTGGGGTATCTGAAGCTGGGGGCATCCTAGGAAGGGGGTCTGGGGCAGCCTCAATTCCCATAGCTCACACTCACCCCTGGGTTGGAATGTCAGGCTGAGGCTCCAGTCAATTCTGTTTGATTAGGAATTGGTAATGTGGACCTCCCCCAACCCCACTAAAGATGCTTATGCAACCTCAGTTTGGACATTTAGAGGCAAAAATTTGCAGCATAACCAAAATTTGGGAGCCCTTGTACAGGGAAATGCACTAATGGAGCTTGGGATAGACAACTCTCTAGAAGCCCTTTTGCTCTGGTCATCCTCATCCTCTCCTGGCTGCATAACCTCAGGGCACTGGTGGCTGGGCTGAGCTGGGGCACAAGGCCTCTCTCATAGAAAAGCCTCACCTAATAATTGATCTCAACACTAGAAACCACACAGCACCTTTAAAGCAGGGGGAAGTCATGGGTGTGGAAAAATGGGGAGAAAGTGGGTGAAGAAATGTATCCAGCAAGAGGACGAGCTAACACTCTAGTACACCAGAACATGGAATTCACGGCCCATGGACAAGGAATCATAAGAGCATTTAATTAGTTAAGTACTGGGAGGGGAGGGAGTATAAAATTGCTGATTGCTAACTAGTTTTATGAACAAACCGGGTAAAAGAAAAGGCTTGATTACAAGTGACACTAAAACCTTTCAATATCTGCTGTCTGTTGTCTATACCTATTTACAGCAGAGAAGATTGCCACCACCCTTGGTGATGAAGATGGCACACGTCGTAGGCATCAGTCCTCAACGGGTGCAGGTAAGAGGGATCACAGGCAACAACAGAACTCTTCTGTGGTATCTCTCTGTGAGCAATGTGCTTTTCTAGTAAATTTTTACCATGACAATCTGCTAAAGACGTAATTTATATTATCATCAAATAGCTTAATTATTCCTTCAGTTACCATTCCTACATTATTCCTACATTCCATAAAACCTTGCTTCCTAGGAAATCCGCAGCCCAACAGAAGAACCCTTTGGAACCCAAATCTGATTTTCTGCCATGGATCGAGAAAAGAGTCTGCTTAGAGGAAGCAAGGAAAAAGAGAAAAATGGGAAGAGGAAGCAATAAGGAGACGAAGGAAAGAGAAAGAAAAATAAAAAAAGAGCATCCAGCTTAGGGCTAGATTCAAGTTTGGCACCTATCATAGGACATGCTCAACGTTGAGACAGGGCAGGGAACAAATGGGGAGGAGGAGAGCTTTCTAGCTCCCTTGGTCAGGTTGTCACCATATGACTTCATTATCCAGCCTGATAAGTTGTGAATACATCCCACCATCCAGTGTGGATAATTGACAGTTATCAAATAGAGACAAAGAACCACCACGTGCACATTTCACATCAGGTTAGTTCAATCAGGTGCTCACTTGCCAGGTGCTCAGTACCACCTCCACCCCAAACCCTTAACTACTTGTACCCAAGTTACCATGAGGCAGCAGCCAAAAGATCTCTCGGGCTGTTCCAGGGTGAAAATTCTGTGATGGCGAGTCTTCTTGGGAAATCCTAAGTAGAGAGTAGAAGAATCTTAGGGCTGTGCTAGCATCACTAATTAGCCTTACTGGTCACCTTGGTAGCCCTGTTTTTCGACAAACTACATCTGCTAGGTTTGATGGTGATTAAGGGAATCTTGTACATAGCTAAAGTTATACTGTGAAATGTTTTGAGAATTACTTGTAAATTACTATTTCCATACTTAACTGATAGACTTTATGAGCAAGACCATCTTTAATAAAAATTTTATGTAATTAAAAATTAATTCACATGTGAATAAGATCTGTTGATTGTTTGTTAATATTATTGTATCAATACAAGCTTTCTAATTTTGACAATTGTACTCTCATTATATAAGATTAATATTTGGGGAAGCTGGGTGAAGGATAGATGAGAATTCTTTGACTACTTTTTTGCAAATTTTTTGTAAGCTGAAATTATATCAAAATGAAAAGTTAAAATAATGTGTTTAAAGATTTCAAAAGGTAATTCACGGGGCTTGCACATTTATCCATAATTTGTTCCCTAGGGAGCACAAAGTCAGAAAAAAATTGTACGCCTTCAGCTTCTCTCCTTTGCTGACGGGTGAAGAAATTCACTGTAGGTCAGATGAAAAAATAAATACGAAAGTCCTTGCTGAAGTAAATGCCTAAACAAATGTTAATAGTGGTAATTATAGACTCCTATGGAAAGTCCTCTCTATAAATAAAGGAAAAAGCCATTGTACTTAATATCCTACCAGACATTCTCCAAGCAGCTACAAAACGCTCAGAAATTGTTGTCCTGGCAGTTAAGAAACAGGGAGTCATTGAAGGGTTTTGAGCAAGGCAGGCATATAACAACAGCAATACTTCAGGAAGATTCGTCAGGCCTTTAGTACACAGGATGGATGAAGTGCGAGGAGACTGGACTCAGCAAATCCCACTAGGAGTTACTCTAATAATTGAGGAAAGGATGGTCCTCTCTCAGTGGACCTGGAAAGGGCCGAGCTGAGAGGCATTTTGAAGAACTCATTGGTCTGGATGGGACTAGCCTGGAGGTGGGGGCAGGAAGAGAGAAATGAGTCAGTGGTTACTTGAAGATGTCTCGCCAAGATGACTAGGGCATTGCTGGTCAGACTGAGAAAGATGGAAAATGGAAGGAAGGAGAGACTATACACAGAGCTTTGGGGCACAAACTCAAGTAGCTCGGGAGGTCAGGCGGATGCAAAGGGAGGAAGACAGTGGCAAGGGGCTGCCTAACGGAGGCTCATCTCTCTATAGAGGGTGCCTCCAAGGGGGTTCTCACTACTTGGCATCCGCAGTCCTTGCCATATGGGAATGCACTTGTGGTGTAACCAGATCTTCCATTTTTTTGCAAGAGAAAGCAGAAATCCCAATCTCTTATGTGTAATCTCTTAACTCTTTAATGTTGGCTACTAATTTTGAAAAATTTTAAAGCATTGCATGTGTCAAACCAAACACATCTGGGGGCCAGATTTGGCAGACTAGCTACCAAGTTGTGACCTCTGACATAGAGGAAAGGTCAAGGGTTAAAATTCATAAACTGTCATGGTGATACATAAGGAGATAAATGACTGTAAAAGGATTCAGTAACTAAAATACTAAATATAAAGCTTTTGCCAGCAATCTGAGCTGTATGAATGTTCCTATCTTTCAAGCCTATGTATTGATTTGAACTTATGCAGGAAGTTTAATCTAATCCTCAAATGGTTAAATCACAAGAATTCGAGTGTGTACTGTGTGCTGAGTACACAGAAGTCAAGGAATTTTAAAAATAACTGGAAAAGAAAAAGCATGCCCTCCTGAAACAACTTGAGACAAATTATAAAACAATCTGACAGACTGCTTTCTCTATCTTATTTTAGAATATCTAGAGGTACCTTAAATCTACCCCCCAAATCACTTCCATATAACAAACTTTGAAATAATTGTTCGTGTGTGTGTGTGTGTGTGTGTGTGTGTGTGTGTGTGTGTGTGAACTTGAATCTGTCACCACAAACCCGACTTCCTGGGCAGTAGTTCTAAAGCCGCAGCCTGTGGTGGCCCGAGGGTATCCTCGCCGCCGCCGCGTGGGAGGGAGTTAGCTGGGGTCGGGGTGCGCGAATGCTGGAGGGGAGGTCTGGGCGTGGCCAGCGTGAAACCGCTGCCTGTCAGGTCTCTCCGCCGGAGTCCCCGTCTTTGTTTCTGTCATTACTCTTTGAGTGTTTGTGTCGAGAAAGGCAGGCACAGAAATAGAAAGTGTCAAAGATAGGATGCCCATGAGGACTAAAGCAAGGCAGAACTTTTGGAAAGTCCTAGCTAGCGGCTCGCTGCCGAAAGCCAGCGCAGCGCCTCCTGCCCTCTTGGAAGAGCCCTGCTGGCGGGGCAGGAAGCGGGCGGCTCGGGCGCGGGTCCTCGCGGAGAGCGGCGGTTTCCTCTCGGGCGGCGGGCAGTGATCTGCAGAGCGGCAGAGCGGCTCTCAGGAGCGCGCGTTCTCTCCCCCAGCCCGCACTCCCAACCCACCCACCTACTTCCTCCGGCTCCACACACACGCACAAGCACAGAGCTGCCAAAAATTTCCACCCTCCGCCCCCTCCCTCGCTGACTTCCTTCCAGCGTTTCCTGAGCTGGATGATCCTAGGATTTGTAAGACAGGAAAAAAGGCAGGCGTGAGGGCGGGCAGGAGACAGGATGCTTGTTTTTCGCCTCACCACAGCCGTCTGAAGGCAGCACCGCGGGCCCCGGGCAGAGGACCCGCCGCAGCCCTTGGGCTGTCCCCTCGCCCCTCGCCGCTGCCCTTTCCCCCCGCGCTCGCGTCCTCTCACGGGCGCTTAGCAGAAGCGGAGGAAAGCCACCCGCGGACACCGCAGGAGCCTGTGAAAGTCCCCGGGACTCCAAGTGAGGAAGTGGACCCCATGCGCGGTGCCCCCCGCCCAGGTGCCTCTGCTCGCCGATGCGGCCCCCCAGAGCCGCGCTGCAGCGGGTGATCTAACCCGGAGACCATCCAAGCAGAGGGGAGGGCGAGACGGAGGGGCAACCTCTTTGGGACTAACTCATGAAGAACAAGGGTGCCAAGCAGAAGCTGAAACGCAAGGGAGCCGCCAGTGCGTTTGGCTGTGACCTGACGGAATATCTGGAAAGCTCGGGACAGGATGGTAATGTGCCTTCGCCCTTTTCCGCCCTTTTTTTGTTTGAGGGAGAGATGGACTCTCTTGGGTTGTTTTAGATTCAATTCACAAGTTAATGTATTCCAGGCCTGTGCGCTCATTGTACTTTTTTTTTTTTAAAGAATATATGATTCTTAATATGCACAGCTCTGCCACCCCGACGTGCAGAGGCTGTCAGTCCTTCCCTCTGTCTCACACAAGCCGTTAATGGGCGGTGCTGCTCCAAGTTTAACCGGCCACCTCCAGGACTGGGGATGGGAGCTGAAGAGGTCCTGATCCTCAACTTGGGATATGGGAAGGGAGGGACGAGGGGCGGACATGTCGTATGGCGATCGGTGGGCTTCCCTGGGTACATAATTATGACCTCCTTAGCTGTCCCTCCTGGGCTCTCCAATTTCATCCACTCACATCTTTTTTTCTTAATGTGCTAGAAGGCTGTGGGGGTGGGGTGGGGATCCTAGCTGGGGGAGTGGTTGCACAAACATTTTCTGAATTTCTGAGCTGATGCCAAATATATAGCACCTCCTCCCCACCCCCTACCCCTGTTTCCAACCACACACACCCCCCCCCCCCCCCCCCCCC